ATGAGAATTTAGCATATGACATATAGAGTGATCAGCCATCCCAGTTTTTCTGGGACCAAGGGATTTCCTGGGACATAGGACTTTTAGTGTTAAAACAAGATGATTGGTCACCCTAAGGCATGAAAAAAAGGATACTTTATTCAGTAAAGGGTTTTGAAATATCTAGGTAAGGTAGTGGTGCCCAAACTTTGCTGTATATTGGAATCACTTGGGGAGTCTTTATAACAACTGATGCCTGACTCCTACCTGAGACAAACCAGTCTCTTGGGTTTGAAGTTGCACCAGGATTTTTAATGGGTAGCAGAGTTTGGGCTATTCTGGAGAAAACTAAGCTGCTTCCTACCTTGTATTTGCATACTTTTCAGATGAGTTAAATATTTTAATGTAAAGAATAAAGAATTCCAGGTAGTGGCTAGATTTGCTTGCTTTAAAGGTAGATATTTGGCCCCTCCCATAGGAAGTCTGGAACCACTGGACCTGGGAGCAGGTGCAGAAAATCATCCCCACGCCCCTCTGCTGTATCTAATAATGCCCAGCAATCTGCCACTTGCTGAGAGACCTGCAGTGGTGTCATAGGGGCTTTTTTGTCACCAACAGGAGCAAAGAAAAGTCACATGCCACATCTTGCTAAAAACTGAATTAGCATTTTGGAAGGTCAAGTGGAGGAACTAATTTATACCACACAGAAAAAATAGGATAAAATGGGTGATATGAGTGTAAAGTTAAGTGATTTGGAGGACAAATCCCAGAGGTGTTTCAGAAGGAGAAAAAGGCTGTGAGGGAGAGAAATAAAAAAGAAATAGCAGGAAGGTTCTTGTAGCTAAAGTAAGATGTGGGACTTGATCTGGAAAGAAATCGCAGAATGAATCTTGTATAAAGTTAATGAAAAAAGACCCACATCCACACATATACTCATGGAATTTCTGAACTCTGAGTGGATGGAAAAACATACAAGCTTCCAGATTTTGTACCAAGGTAAATAGAATCAGATTAGTACTAAACTGCATATCTATAGGCTGTATGCTAGAAGGCAATGGAACAGTGTTGGCAGACTATGGCAAATAAGACTGCAATCCGAGAATCTTATACCCAGCAAAGATTCTCTATGTGAGACCAGAGCATAAAAAGGATTAGCTCTGGCCGGGCGTGGTGGCTCACGCCTGTAATCCTAGCACTTTGGGAGGCCGCGGCGGGCGGATTGCTCAAGGTCAGGAGTTTGAAACCAGCCTGAGCGAGACCCCGTCTCTACCAAAAATAGAAATAAATTAATTGACCAACTAAAAATATATATACAAAAAATTAGCCGGGCATGGTGGTGCATGCCTGTAGTCCCAGCTACTCGGGAGGCTGAGGCAGGAGGATCGCTGAGCCCCGGAGATTGAGGTTGCTGGGAGCCAGGCTGACGCCACAGCACTCACTCTAGCCTGGGCAACAAAGTGAGACTCTGTCTCAAAAAAGAAAAAAAAAAAAAGGATTAGCTCCTAACCAAACAACAATGACTGTAACAATTATTCTAAAGAAATAAAAATGAAATTGCAACAAATACTTCAAGAAAAAGAAATATAAAATGTATAGGAAGCAGTGGTGAGTTATGAATTAAGTTATTTTAGTCCAAATTATATGGTTGCTGGTAGTGTCATATGCCTGGAATAAATTCTTCTAAATCATCTGAAAGCTTAGAGAGAGAACTAGACATGCTGGTAGAAAAAACTGGTTCTGTTCTAATTCTGCTACAATATCCTAAGTGTTTTGGTTTTTAAAAGCTTGGATAATGAATTAATAGGATTGAGACTATTTCATTTTACTGTAACATGTGCATGTTAGTCCTTATGTCATATAGTGCCCTAGAGGGTGTTTTGTATAGGTTTGGGTATACATATGCCTATGTGCATGTTACAGGTTTTTATCACCCAAATGACAGAGAATTTGAAGATAAGATAGTAAGAGGTACTGTGTATTTTAGTTTGCTCTCTAATAATGATGTGAGTACCTGCGGTGTTCACGGCTTGGCATCAGAGCCTGGGGAGATGCAGGGATTCTACAGAAATGGTGCCACTCCACTCTCCAAATAGGAGTTATGTGCTCATGTGTCAGTTAGGCACCATTTGCCCTCCACCATCCTGGCAGTCAAGACATGGAAGTCTGGTTTCCTGTTAGCCATTGCACTCAGCACACACTTCTGGGTGACCATTTGAGTAATGCTGTTACTGGAGATTGTGCTCAAAAGAGTGTGGTTGCTAAGTTCCACATATCACTCCTACAACCTGTCCCTTGCGGTCGGCTGTCTTCTGTGAACATAAGAAATCTGTTGTGAAGTCATGTATGGTCTTTGAGGCAGTGTCCTATGGTTACCAATGTCTTAGTGAATGCCCATCCCCTTGTTTTTTCCTGGGAACAGCTCTTTGGAATTGTCCTGCCAGTTTTAGGGTTTGGGGATGGGCTGGCAGACCTACTGGGTCCTTTTCAGTGGCAGTTTTCCTGGAGTGGGACATCCTTGTAGTCTGTGGGCTGCTCTGGGGAGGCACTGGGACCCTCTCAGCATTCCAGCAATGCTACTGCAACAAGGCCGTTCGCGCGCTCCCTGCAGACGATGGTCAGCACCACTTCCTTAGACGACAAGCGTCCTTGGAGTGGATTCACGCATTGGAAGCAGGTGGCTCCATCAGTAATTGTGCTCACACTCTGAGTGTCTTGACTGGAGGGAATAATTATCTCCTCAGTTTTTAATTTTTATTTTTAATTGTTTTTTAATTTCAGCATATTTCGGGGGTACAAATATTTAGGTTACATATAGTGCCTTTGCCCCACCGGAGTCAGAGCTTCAAGCATGTCCATCCCCCAGACGGTGCAACCTTCTCAGTTCTTTTGAGAACATTTGTAATGCTGTGACTGTGACCATCTGGTAAACTCAGTCTCATAACAAGATGTGTTTTGGGCACCACTGCAAGCAAGGTGCTGTGCGTGGAGCTCTGGGGGACATGGAATGTGAAAGGCCTTTAGCTTATGGGCTGTGCTAAAGAGGGGAGATGGAAGAAAGAGGATGCACAGCAAAGCAAGCTCAGAGTCTGGGCAGTGACTGCCGGGTCACCGACAGCTGCTCTGTGTCTTCACTCCGAGTCCCATATGACCCCGTAGCTCCCACCACCTAAGCACTCACTGAGCCAATTCTCCTCTCTCTTCTCCACTGCTTTAGTTGAAGTCCTCTTCTCTTTTTCTTTTCTTTTTTTTTTAAACTGCAGTAAAATAGACATAACATAAAATTTATTATTTTAAACATTTTAAGTGTGCAAACTCTCATTGCTTAAGTGGGCTACTGGGATAAGGTTTTTAAAATAAATGAACTACAATGCAACAAAAAAGCATGTGTGAATGTAAATGTGCAATTTAAAGAATAAAACAAACACTTGGGGGAACCACTCAGCCTTAGGAATAGAGCATGAGCCAAGCTTTTGAATGCCCTGCTGCTAGCCCCTGGCTTCTCCTGGAGGATGGAGTAGTTTTGTCACAGCCTTCTCTTCCTCCAGCCTCTGTCCCCTCACTGGGCCCAGAGAGGTGGGGTTCACAGAGAAATCTTGTGCTGAAAATCGTCCTCTGACTCTGCAGATGTCTTGGTCTGTTTTCTGTTGCTGTAACAGAATACCTGAGATTGGGTAATTTATAAACAACAGAGATTTATTTCTCATAGTTCTGGAGGCTGGGAAGTCCAAGATCAAGGTGCTGGCATCTGGTGAGGGCCTTCTTGCTACATCGTCCTGTGGTAGAAGGCGAGAGGGTGAGAGGGAGCAAGAGAGAGAGAGAGAGAGAAAGAGAGAGAGAGAATTAGAGAGGGCTGGACTCGTTCTTATAACAACCCCCCCACCCCCAGGTAACAGCATTAACCCTTTGCACTCACTTGCTTTTTCTCGATTCCTTTATTCTACTCAGGATTTAATTTCTTAAATACCCCAGATTTTACAAAGTGCGGCAGTAGAATAAAAAACTGGAGTTTCTTTTCATATAAACTTATTTATTTGGATTTTTAATATTTCAAATGATTGATACATTCAAAGATTAATTTTAATCTCTATAATTTTTGCTAATTGTGTCGAGTCACACTGGACATCCGAGTGCAAAGGGTTAATTCATTCATGAGGTCAGAACCCTCATGACCCAATCACCTGTTAAAGATCCCACCTCTCAACATTGTTGCATTAGGAATTAAGTCTCCAACACATGAACTTTGGGGGACACATTCAGACCGTATCAGTGTGGCTTGGGGGATAAAGTGCAGAGTCCTGGGCAGTGGGTCCAGGCCCTCTCCCAGTTGGGCCCTCAGGATGCCTGTGATACCCCCTCACCATGGTGGCACCACACTGCTCACCTGCAGGCTCTGGCCACACCCTGTGCTCCTCTTCTCCCCTTAGCCACATGGTACAGTCCTCCCTCCTGAGCCCTCATGCCCATGTCGCTGGGGACTTGCATTGAGCTTCTCTGCACATTGCTCAGCCTAGACAGTTCCTGCAAATCTGGTCCCTCCAAGCCTGTAGGGGAGAAGGGCCCCGGGTGGTCTTCGGGGAGCCACCGATTCAGACAGGGAAGAGTTAACGCCCCTCCTCATGAATCCTCGTTTTCTTCCTGAGAGCAAATGACCTAATGTTATGACCATTTGTCTGGGTTGCCTGGGCTACCCACACCGGCCAGCATGTCACACAAGTCGGGAATGAGCCGGCGAGTCCGGGAAAGAGGCAGGCGTCCTAGCGAATTGTCGGTGCCTCCCTTGCCTCATTTTCCTGGAGCTCTGAGTGCCCCCTTTCTCTTTGGCATGGATGCACGTTGTTTCCGACGGATGAGTTGGACGTGGTGGATTTGAATGTCACATTATTTGAACAGATGTGCATTCACATTGCTCTGAGCAAACGGGGTAGGGGGCGCTCCCGTGGCAGTGGAGTGGCCCCTCGTGTGTCTCAGGTTGTTCATGTTCGTGGGGTTCTCACTGTGCTTTCCAATGTCCCTCCCCGCAGCGCTGCCTCCAGGTGGTGATGGCCGCGTGAGTGCCCGCCATGGCCCACCGGAAGCGTCAGAGTGCAGCGAGCGGCATGTTGGACCACAGGGTGAGGCCGGGCCCCGTGCCCCACAGCCAGGAGCCTGAGAGCGAGGACACCGAGCTGCCCCTGGAGGCATACGTGCCCAAGGACCTGGAGCTGGCCGCCCTGCGGCCGGAGAGCCCGACGCCCGAGGAGCAGGAGTGCCACAACCACAGCCCTGACGGGGACTCCAGCTCCGACTATGTGAACAACACCTCCGAGGAGGAGGACTACGATGAGGGCCTGCCCGAGGAGGAGGAGGGCATCACCTACTACATCCGCTACTGCCCCGAGGATGACAGTTACCTGGAGGGCATGGACTGCAACGGGGAGGAGTACCTGGCCCACGGCGTACACCCCGTGGACACCGACGAGTGCCAGGAGGCGGTGGAGGAGTGGACGGACTCGGCAGGCCCACACCCGCACGGCCACGGGTCTGAAGGCAGCCAGGACTACCCTGACGACCACCTGCCCATGCCGGAGGACGAGCCCCCTGTCCTGGAGGCCCATGACCAGGAAGAAGGCAGCCACTACTGTCCCAGCAAAGAGGGCTACCAGGACTACTATCCCCCGGAGGCCAACGGGAACTCGGGTGGTGCCTCCCCCTACCGCCTGAGGTGCGGGGATGGGGACCTGGAGGACCAGGAGGAGGACATCGACCAGATTGTGGCCGAGATCAAGATGAGCCTGAGTATGACCAGCATCACCAGCGCGAGCGAGGCCAGCCCCGAGCATGGGCCTGAGCCGGGGGCCGAGGACTCCACGGAGGCCTGCCTGCCTGGCGAGGCCAGCTGCGGCCCCAGCAGGCACGAGGCGAGGCCCAAGTCCCTGAACCTCCCTCCTGAGGCCAAGCACCCCGGAGACCCCCAGAGAGGCTTCAAGACCAAGACCAGGACCCCAGAGGAGAGGCCAAAGTGGTCCCAAGAGCAGGTAGGACTCTGACTGTCCCCAGGGAAGGGGCCGGAGGGGGCCGAGAGGAAGGGACATTCTGGGGTAACCCCTGCAGATGCTGAAGCCAAGGTGATGGGAGGGAGGGGTGCCTGACAGTTCAAAAGGTGAGCTGATTTTGTCATTGCTCAGTTATACAGCATGTTGCTTGGATATTCTGACTTCTCTTAAGCTCACCCCACAGATATAGGAGTAAATCCAGTGAAGTCTCACTGAGGGCTAATTGACAACTGACACCCCTCCAAAAGACACCCCCATTCCCTCCCCAGAAGAGATCCAGTTCCTCACCCGCTGCCCTGGATCTGCTCATGGTGAGGGATCCCCAGGTGGTCTACTCAGGTCGGCAGGACGTGGGGACACTGGTGTTCATGCACTGCTGCAGCCAGGGGCGAGATGGCCCAGTGCCACAGGCAGTAGCCTGAGTGCATTTCAGTGGCCATTGGATCTGAATGACATGTGTCTAAAAGCCTGGGGACCTTGGCCTGATGGGCAATTAGCTGTGAATACTATTTTGAAAATAATTATTTGAAAGTTTGATAAAATCATGGAGAAGAAGTGAATGTTAATGAGGGCAGTGGATGTAAGCATAACTATACTTTCTTTTAATTGGAGCAAAGTAAGTGTGTATTCTAATAAACACATTTGAAAAGCTGCCTTTCAAAAAAAGAAAAAAAACCCTCCATGAGTATATAAAGAAGATGTGATTATTGGGCTTGTGTAAAGGAACTTCTATTTGATCAATTATGTAGACTGCTTTCATATTTTTTAAAGCCTTAATTATTTTTTTCCCCAAAAGAGTTCATGAGTTTGAATATTTATTATCTATATACTGAGAGCTTGCGTTTGGAATATAAATCATATTGACTTGCTGTTAGATTTCCAGTGCTTGTGTTTGGATGCCTTTTGTTTTCTCTGAAGAGTATTAAGTGTCAGTTGACTTTGCTTTGGGGGTGTTCCTGTCATTCACAGCCATTCTGCCTTCACTGGGGGCCGTGGGGGGTCCAGAAACTGCCACTGTACCAACGGATGCTGCAGGAGCTCGCCCAGAGGGTGGGCCGCCCTGGCCCTGGGTCTGGGCTCCAGGCCAAAGCACCTCCCTCTTTCTTCAGTCTGTGGCAGGGCCTGGGCTTGTCCCCCAACAATGGCGATGGCGCCGTAGGGATTGATGTGGGCTGCACAGGATGCATGGCATGCTGCCTCTTGTTGTGACAAATAGCATCCCTGGCCATGTTCTTGTCGAAGAAAACTATCTTTAGAGCCTGGTGGGGAGTGAGCAAGACCTGATGTTCCACAGCTTTTGTGCCCCACACTAACCAGATCCTAATTTGAATAAAAACCCACAGACCTTTGGGTTGCAGAGCTGGGAGGTGAATGAGTGGGAAGGGTGAATGATTGCATGGGTGGTATTTGCCACCCATGGGGAGTGGGAGGAAGTCCTAGACCATTGTGGAGGGCCAGGAGGAGGTCTGTTCTTTGAGAAGAAGCTTTGAATGGAAAAGCAAGTAGCTTTTCTCCCTAGGGAGGGTATGTTCTGGAAGCAAATGCTCTTATTTAAGCTGGTTAATGATTAGATAACATTTTTGGCTTCATTCATTCATTCACAAATTAATTTCATCAAGGGGAGAGCCTGGAAGTTCCCAGCTCAGGGCTGACAATGACCCTGAGGCCTTGGGTCCTGAGTGCTCTTTCTGAGGACTCTATAGGCCAAGGTCTTCATGTCCTATAGATCTGAGTAGCCTGTTCTGGATGAGGAACTCTTTAAAATTTAACCAAAAGGAGCCACTGGCAATAGAAATCATCTTGGAAGCAATGTTCTATATGAAGGATGTGCACTATAAAATTTGATAATGGTTTGCTGGAAATCACAACCTGTTTTCCTAAAAGCAATCCCTACTCTCCCCAGCTACAGCCAGACTTGTCAGGAGCCAACAAAGGCCTGGCCTCAAACAGGTGCACAGGGTGCCTGTGTGTCCGAGCCCACCTCTCTGTTCCCAGTGCTGTCTGTATCTTACCTGTAGTTGAGGCTGTGGTTAAAAAAAAAAATCTGAGTGGAGAAGTGGGCAATGCTGGCCACCTGGATGCTTTAGACTGTTTTAAAGTGTGGTCCATGGCCACACAGCACTGGCATCTCTGGGGAGCCCCACCCCAGAACTTCTGAATCCCAGTCTGCATTTCATCAAGACACCACATGTGGGTTGGAGGGACAATGCTCTAGAAGATTTTGGTTGGAGGAAAACATCAAATAGCATTCCTTACTCTATTCATTTTAAAGCTGGAAAAGGTATGTCCCAGATACTTTTAAGAGTAGTGAATAACATTTATTTAGTCAATGCGTGGGTGACAGTAGTGCACTAGAGTTAGAAAAAATGGGAATATGAAAAATGCATCCTCCATGATCCCCCTACCACCCTGACAGGTGAGCTGTTTTCATTTCTCTGTGCTCCTTTCAGACTGTAGCACGGAGCATAAATAGTGTGTGTAGCTGTCATCATACCCCACATGTGACTTTGTCATTCGGCTTTTAAAATCTGATGACGTATTATAAACGTTTCTCCATGTTGCCATATAATTTTCATGATTATTTTTACTGACCTTTAAATGTTCCGTTTGGGCGATGTGCCATGTAATTTAGTTGTCTGTAAATACTCTGCCATTGTGCGTGTAGGCTGTGGGTGGCCTTTTCTCTTATAAGTAAAGCTGGCATAGACGTCTTTGTACAAGTCATGTTTTCCTTCCCTTGGTTTATTACCTGGGGATAAATTCCCATGTTGTACATCAACACTGACCCTTTCCCCACGATTATCTTGTCTAACTGTTTCTCTTCTGTGAATGTCTGATTCATGCCCTTTATCTTTTGGAGTTTCGATGCTTTTTCATATTTCATAGGAGCACTTTATAAACTACAGGTGTTACTTTTTCTGCAGATGTTTTCTTCAGTACATTTTCTTTTGATTTTCCGTCATATTATTTTGATCATCCCTGCAGTGGTTTCAAGATGTTAATGACTCATCCGTCACCCTTCCACCTCCTTGGGTACTGAGGGATTTAAGTGGATGGTCCCTTCTTCCCAAACTGGGTGGATGAACTCACAGAGGATGTTGCTTTAGTCTGGCTGACATGAAAAATGAGTTGCTCCATGTGCCAGGAGTGGGAATGTGTGGCCCGGGGGCGCCACGCATTCTGAAAGGCTCCAGCCTGCAGGTGGCCCTCCATGTGTGCTACTCTGATGAAACCAGGGGGTCTGCATTGGGGGCAGGATGGGATGTGGGAGACACAAAGAAGATGGGGACCAGAGAAGATCTATGTATACTTTTTACTAAAAAAAAAAGTTCTCTCAAAGTAATGCAACATCAACCCAAAATGGCAATGATAGAAAGGTTGTCACCATCAGGACCTTTGGCTTTTGCAGACGTAACATTTCTTGTCATTTGTGGAAAGTCCCTGGGTGACAGTGGAGGTGGCAGCAGCATTGGTGGTGACTGCCAGTACCCTGCCAAGGGCAGCAGGAGAATGACCTCAGTAAATCCTAGAACCACCCGAGGAGATGGGACGAGACGGCTGAGATACATCCCTCACTCATGAACGGCCTGTGTTACGCCAGAACTCGTGCCTCTAGCCACTGCATCATGCAGCCCTTGAGGAGCCTCTAGAAGAGGTCATGCCTGGTTCTGTGCAGTCTGCACCTGAGTCTCCCTGCTCAAGAGTGAGCTAGTGTGGGTAAACTGTGTGGTACCCTGGATGGCGGTGGTCTCTTCTGTTCTGTTGCCTGTTTAACAGGCTTAGTGTTACTGATCTCTGGTCCCCATCTTCTTTGTGTCTCCCACATCCCATCCTCCCCCCAACACAGACCTCCTGGTTTCATCAGAGTAGCACACATGGGAGGGCTACAGTGAAGTGACGAGTAGACACCAAGGCTTCTGGCTTATAAAATTGTCCCAGTCTTGGGTGCTGTCATGTTCTGACTTCACCAGGGCTCAGGCCATAGATCAAACAAGTTAAGTGGAGATTATCCTTGTGGCATTCTTCTTAATTTTATTGAGCTTTGTTGACATGAAATATTGATTTTTTTCCCTGTGCAACAATTAAAGAATATATGGGTTAGGTCCAGCCAGGCTCATGTTGAGTGCACTGGTAGAATTGGCATTTGTACCCCACCTTTGTGGCCCTCTGCCATCTGGCAGTGAGCATGGAGGGAGGGCCCCAGCTGGGCACCCACTGCTTGGCTCAGCCCCACAGCTCCAGGGATGAGCTTTGTGGACCTGGCATGTCCTTGTGTATGTCCCTTGAAGAGAGTGGTTTGCTGCTCAGTGCTTCCCACTGGGCAGCTATCCTCACTCCTGGGGGGACATTGTAAGAGCACGTTTGTCCAGCACCGAAGATCTTAAGTCTGTGGTCTCATGAGGGTCTGACTTGGTGGCGACTGGACTGATGGTTTTAGAGTCCACCTCCCCCAGCCCGTGACCTTGTGACATCTATCAGGAGATAGGCCACCCTGAAAAAGTCTCTTCTGCCTGAAATTCTCCCTTTAGCGACTGATGCCTTTGGATCATGGAGATTTCTGGGGCTGCGGGCATTCTCTGTCCAGGACCTCAGTGACCATCGAGTCAGAGCTGTTTGATTTACACAAGTGTGTGAAACAGCTCTATGTCTTGGGACAGCAAACCAAATACATGTTTTCATTATTTAGGGCTTTCATGATTTCTGTTTATCGCTGACCCAGCCAGTGCTTTTCTAGAAAGAACCCTCTGACGATAGAAAAAAGGGAAAATCAATACATTGTAGCCAACTTAATACAACAGTGAAAGTGAGGTGGGATAGAGAGGGCCCTGAGGCCAGGTGGAGCGTGCAATTGTCCATCACCGCTCATTGCAGAGACGCTTTGGCTGTGACTTGGCATTCAAGTCAGGCTCGCTTTTCCAAGGCCCTTTTGAGATTGCAGTAGGAATGCTGGCGACACATAGGGGGAGGGGGTGCTGAGTGCA